ATATATATAGTATGTGTGTAAAATTAGACCACAAGGACCATGAATTGCCTAAATGCCAGCGTGTTACAGAAACAAAAACAAAAACAAAAAATAGTGGCTGGAAAAAGTTTGAGTGGCCGGTACAAAACTTTTTCTACCAGCCACTGTGGCCGGTGGGGAAAATTTTTAATTTCCACCCGACTATAAATGTAATATTTGTTGTCTGTCATTGTAGCTGGGATAATTTTACTTATTAAAGCTCATAATCTTACCACAAACATCACTAGCCCTGAAGCTGCTGGTAGACATCGCGGCTGGAATTATCAAAGGTTTTTGACACCTGAGAGACACCGTAGCAATGCCTTTGCATTTGGAAGCGGGGGGGTGGGGGTGGGGGGAGGTCCAGAGAGGATGATTCAACCACTCAACCACTAGATGTCGCTGAAAACAACAAATCCTACACACTGTGTCTTTAAGAACTATTCTAATAAATATAAAATATTCTAAAATGTAGTGATTCTGATTGTGTTTAGGCCAGCAGAGAAGGCTTTGCTGGCCCTGACGGCACACCACTGGAAGCTAATAACAAATTACTAATGCTTTTTATTTATTTACTTGTAACGTTTTTCTTTTAAAACTGAATTCTCTGAAGTTATACCATGAAAAAACAACTGAAGCGATGTGATATAAAATGTTTCACCATGATAACAAGGCAAGCAAGCACATGGTCATGAAAACATAGATCTTCCGTAGACTAGATCGTTTCATTTCACAGCCATTTATGCAGCCGACACGAGTGGCCTACAGCCCACATAGACTATGGCCAACGTGGGCCGCGGTCTACGTCGGCTGCAGCCCATGAATTGAGACACAGCCGATGTCAGAGATGCTAACAATGGACGAGACAGGCAGGGCTCACTCCAGTGTTATTTAATTCTATGATATAATCTTATTTCTGTCCTTTCTAGTTGTTTATAAATATTAAGTTTAAAATATAAATATTACTTACCTTTCATCTGTCCAATATTGAAAAGTGTAATATGAATGTATGGTACTTGAACTTTTTTTAAGCATTTTACTATTTTACACCACAGTGACAAGCAACTGTATTTTCAATCTATTTATATTGTAACAATAAAAACATTTATAATAAAGTTCTTGCAACCAGCTAAAAGTAGTACAAGATATCAGGAGCTGCTGCACCAAACAGACTAGTTCACCTAGTTAGAACAAGAAAGTAATAAATAAACATTTGAGGACACAAGGTCAAAGCAGAAGTATTTTCTGACAGTTAAAAAAGAAGAAATACTCAAGCAGCTGGGTGGAAAACTTACAGGCGTTTGATTCCCGATTCTGGCTGAGTTGAAGATCTGGAGTGAATCCTCAGTTCAGGGGAGGGAGACGGAGACAGAGTTTCAATTTCATCCTCGGTTTCATCACTGCAAATACGGAGATCATCATAATCCTCAGCAACATGTGTGAATCTTACAAACGTCATGTCACACTGTCTTGACCATATCTTTGTCTGATTGGTTTTCTATTATTACAGATTTGTTTAGATTTAGACATTTTTTAAATTTTCATCATGCTCATGTTTATTAGCATATGGTATCATTTCTTTGTTAGTAAATGTCTTGTTTTTAGCTATTTTCATAATAAGTTCTTTGTTAGGTAAGTTTTGTTCTGTTAGAAATTTTTAAAGATACTTATTTCTAAGTATAAAATAACAATAAAAAGGTTCTCTTCAACTACATCAAATGGTGAAAGCATTATTCTAGCTACTGAATTAACAAAGATTAAATCAGTAGAAATTAGAGAATGAATGTTTTAGAATTTACATTCTTCTTTAATTCTGTCTTTGTTCAGTGACAAATTAGTAAAACCTACATTCCTGGTAGTATCAATACATTGCTGGTTTTAGTTTGGATAATACTGCTGCGTGGATTGATCCACACTCACTACTGTCTGTAGACTGTGTAGGTAAAGAAATACGCTGGAACAGGGCAAGCATAAAATCTTGTAGAAGACTTTAAGGTTCCACTACTTCTGGCGCCGCGAGAGCTGGCAGCCAGTCTCAGCAGTTCTACTTGTACTCTGTGATCTTCTTGTTTTCTTTAGTTTATTAGAAGTGCTGTGTGTTTCTGTGTTTTCCTATTCTTTTGCACCAACTACAGAGCTGATTTTTCTTTGGACAATTCTGTTTTTATTTTTCTTTTGTACAGCTTTTTCGTCCGGAGAATGTGTGAGTGAGCATGCTCCTATTGTTTACATTTGGGACCAGCTGTTAGCACTAGGTAGCTCTGCGGTGCCTCCCCCTGCTGAACAGCTCAATATTCCCCGCGAGCTGAGAAGGAAGCGACGAGGGAGACGTGCGGGCATCGGACGTCGCAACCAGGGCAGAAGGTACAGACCGGTTATCCCATCCATTATTATGGGAAACGTGAGATCTCTTCATTACAAATTGGACGAACTAGCGGCGCTAACGCAACATAAAAGGAGATACCGGGAGAGCAGCCTCATCTTCCTCACTGAGACGTGGCTAACAGAGCTAACTCTGTACGCTCACATAAACTTGGGACGGCTTTCATTTACTTCGTGGTGACGGAACGAAGGAGAGCAGTAAGAAGCGAGGAGAGTGTCTGGCTGTGTTTGTGAATGATAGATGGAAGCAGCGATTTATAAAGATAGTCAAACAGCCAAAAACTCATAAAAGGGGATAAAACACGTTTTTCACGGTGGAATGTGACTGATTAAAAACTTTGGAGCTTAATTTGGGTCCAGTTTGTGAATAAATAACATTGGGTGACGAGTCTCTGATTTTTTTTTTTTTGCATTGGACTTGTGCTAGAAATAATTACATAACTCTCTACTAGGTTCACATTGCCTTGACATTCTATTTTGTATCTCTTTGATTACTGTTACCATTTGTACTTATGATTTAAAGATGCTCTGATGTCTCATGTCCTTGTTCTCATTTTCAGCTGCTGTAAACCTGTAACTCCGTCATTGGTTTCGAAGACTCCACCCGGATGGCAAAAACTGTTTCCTGTAGCACGGCTAGTCAGTGTGTGGTTCGCTCAAAGCGCTGATGTCCTCTGAGCATGTCGCGGCTCGTTTTGCCCTTTGCAAAACCTTTATTAAATCATCAATGACCATCTGCGCARTGCACTCTCTTTTTATTCACGTGTTAATAAATATTTCCACGACAGACTCCACCGGGAAGAAATGCCAGGTAGTGACGTATGCTGCAGCGGGAGGGGTTTCCCAGGAGCTTGGCGCGGGGTGTCTCAGGAGCTATGAAAGGTGTGTGCAAAACCAAATGCCGAACAACCACGTGATGACACATCATCCGGTAAGCTGCCAAGCGACCATACTGCCTGCTTTGGTGCTCAGAATATGTGTTGGGGGTGGCCCTTAGCTACTACCACATCAAACTTTAGCTCACTATTAGTAAAATGACAAACATAGGCTGTGTCCAAAACGGCAGGACGGGTCCTCCRAAGGYCGAATTCGTCGGCCGCATACGTCACAGCGCCGCAACGAAGGACGTCCAAAACCGGACTCCTCCGATGCGGCCGACAAATATGTCCTTCCTTTGGCCCAAATCGAAGGACAGGTCCGATGGATCCTTCCCGGCCCGGCATATCCCATAATGCATTGTGGCCCGACCGGAGATTTTTTTATGCTAGTAATGGCGGACGAAGCGAGAGAAAAGAATACATTTTAAATAAAAATATGGTGATATAAAATTTTTTTAAAAATTAGCGGTTGTAATTCTAATACTTATAT